ATTATGTAACCATGAAGGAACTTTTTGCTATATATAAGGAGGAGTTCAAGAGAATGATAGCTGACATGAAAAATCCAAGCATTGTCAAAGAAGGTGATGTAACCATGAAGGATCTTTTTGCTATATACAAGGAGGAGTGGAAGACAATGAAAGCTGATATGAAGGAAACAGTTCACTGGTTGAAAGTAAGAGTTGGATTTGCTGATGTTGGTAAGCAAAATATAAATTAAACAAAACATTTTTTTTTTTTTTGGTGCAGAAACATTTTATTACACAGTTTTCAGGAATACAATAAAAGTGGGATTCCAAATACCTCAAAGAGTTTTTTTTTTTAATTTGTTTTTTCTCTAATAATTAGTCAGATTGAGTATATGCATAGTTTATGAGTGACGAAAAGATTCTGATTGTGGACTGTGGAGCATGTACTACGTAATGTTTCCAATGGAAATCTCAAAGATCTTTGCTGCTGCACTTGGCCGCTGTGGCATTTGGGCAACTTAATATATTGGGAGTCACACAAATATCATCCTAGCTCTCTGTACATGCATAAAGGCTTGATTGGTCTAGTGTTCGTCCTCTGTATTTATCATTGAAACTTAATTCCGTAATGGTCAATTTCTTTGATAGCCATCGTTGACTTAGGCATTACAAAAGACTTTGCCAGTAAGTTTTCTAATAGAGAACCAAGAAATAAGCATTAAGCAACAACATCTTATAGATCTACAATCAAATCATATTAGGGAAAAGAAACTGGAGCATTAATCAGATATACAATATAGAGACTAGAGTACGAACCAAAAAAAAATCAGAGCCTTAATAATAATATACGCAGCAATCTTGTCATAATCTCTTTATTATTAATTGAGAAGTACATTGACAATTTTTGGACCAAAAAACCAATCCTTTATGAAGAAAAAGTGTTTGGCAACAAATATAAGAAGGGATAATTTAGTAAAAAAATGGCCGAGTCAACTGAGTCAACTCAGAAGAAAGAAAAAAACCGACCCGGATATCCACAATATGGGACGCGGATCCTTTAGAAAACTTAAATCAAACCGATCTCTAATGGTTTTCTTAAACCGAAAATCTATTCTTCAAAATTCTCGGTTCAATCCGCTTGAATACCTGCAAAAAAGAAAGAAAACTTACGCTTAATCCATATCTGTTGTAAAATCTGCAAAAAGGAAATGTTCTAAAAAATATGAAGCGATAATAAGAAATCAAAGGAATCTTGATATTAAAGAAAAGATAATCTTCAAAAACAAATTTGTTAATAATACAAATATGATCGAATGATATATGCGAAATTTCCATTATTTGAAAAACCCAACTACTATATAATAGGTGAACCGATGATCAATAAGCCATAAGTCCAAACAAGTTGTCAATAGTAACAAAAAAAAACCTTTCAAAACTTCTTGGAGGATCCAAGTCAAAATTCTTCACTCATGGAAGCAGTTTACTGCCGTCTCCGGAGAGACAATAGAGATGATCTTAGCCGATGAAGAGGTAAATTTTAAGAAGATTATTTCCAGTTATTTCATGTTTCATATAAAAACATTCTCGGTAAATTTGGAAAAGCTTTTTTGTTGTAGAAAATTCTCAATATTGTTCAAAACTATGCTCCATAATCAGGGTACCAAGATTCATGCTGGTGTTAAAAAGGAGTTCGTGAAAAAGTAAGTTACGTGGACAAGTTATCAATGTCAAGGAATTGGAGATTCTAGATACGGCTACAAAACCATTAAAGAAGCAGGAATTTGAACTCCTAGATGAAAAGTAAGTTAGTCTAAATTCTCTGTAAAGAAAATATAACTTGAATAACATAGATAATGAATTCAAAATTATTTTTAATTGTATTGGTTGTAGTGATGAGCGTTTAGGCTGTACCTTATGGAATTCAATGGCTGAGGAGACGTCTGCAGCATACCATAGTGCTGGAGATGAAAGTGTCATATGCCTTCTAAGGTTTTCCAAAATCAGGGAATTCAAAGGTGTGAGCTTTGCAAAAAATATTAAAGTAGAAAATAACTTTAAATATACATTACGTTATACTGTTTTTTATTAGCTCTTGGTGTAGGTGTTAAAAGTGTTTCAAACGCATTCTCAACCAGCCTCCTGCAAATAAATCCAAACCATCCTGAAATTGAAGAGTTCAAGGAACTGTAAGTTCGAATGATAGATTATTACTATGACATGATGTTATTCATACTCTAATATGTTATTCATTGTGTAGACTTCTAGATGATGGGTTGGCTCTCACCCTTGTAACATCCGAATACCATTTACAACACAAGGCAAAATGAGGAAAACTGCATCTCATTAAAACTCCAAAATGTATATCGTTACAACGAAAACGAAAATACAATAACACCAAGCCAAAAGCTAAAACAACTGAGGCTACAAAGATGAAATAAGCTCACTCCTCGACCTGCTTGTCGAACCACTTCCTGAACTTCAACTTCATCTTTGCCTCTGGCTCCCAAGTCTCCTCTGTAGAACCACTGCAATCCCACAAAATCCTCAGTAAGGGAATCCTCTTGTTCCTCAGAACCTTTTCCCTCCTCTCTAAAATCCTCACAGGCACTGCCGGCACTGTCAAATCTGGCTGAAGATCCTCTGGAATCCTAGCCACTAACTCCTCTGTAGGGTGAAGACACTTCCTCAGCATCGACACATGAAAAACCTTGTGAAAGGCTTTCATAATCTCAGGCAACTCCAGCCTGTAAGCCAATGGCCCAACTCGCTCCACTACTGGAAACGGACCCATAAATCGCGGACTCAGCTTGTTCTCTGCTATGGATCTGTTAGGACCCCTCAACATAGCCATCTTGAGATAAACTCTATCTCCAACCTGAAACTCAAGCTCTCGTCTGCGTCTATCTGCATAACTCTTCTGCCTATCCTGAGCCTCCTTCATGTTCAGCCTCACACACGGACCTTCTCTGTCGTCTCCTGAACATAAGTAGCTCCATACATGCTGCGCTCCCCCACTTGGGTCCAGCATAGGGGTGTCCTACATGGCCTCCCATACAAAGCCTCAAATGGAGCCATGCCAATACTCGCCTGAAAGCTGTTGTTGTATGCAAACTCAACTAAGCTCAGGTGATCTGCCCAATGGCCACCCCAATCCAACACACACATCCTCAGCAAATCCTCCAAAGTCTGAATAGTCCTCTCTGACTGACCATCTGTCTGCGGATGATAAGCTGTACTCAAATGCACCTTAGTGCCCATCTCTGCCTGAAAAGCTCTCCAAAACTCTGAAGTGAATCTGGGATCACGGTCTGACACAATACTAGCTGGCACTCCATGCAGCCTCACAATCTCTCGCACAAACTTCCTAGCCAAAACAGCAGCTCCATCTGTCTTCTTGATGGCCAAGAAATGTGCAGACTTAGTCAACCGATCCACAATCACCCAGATAGCATCGAAAGTCCTCGAAACAGGTAGTCCAACCACGAAATCCATCGTAATCCTGTCCCACTTCCACTCTGGAATGGGTAAACTCTGCAAAAGACCACCCGGAACCTGATGCTCTGCCTTCACCAAGGCACAAGTGTTGCACTTCGCAACCCAATCTGCTACATCCCTCTTCATCCCGACCCAATGATAGTACCTCTTGAGGTCATGGTACATCTTGGTCGCTCCCGGATGAATGGAAAACTTGCTCGCGTGAGCCTCTCCCAAAATCTGATGTCTCAACTCCACATCCTTAGGCACACAAACTCGCCCACGAACCAAGATAGTCCCATTCGCAGAGACCTCATACTCAGAACCAGTCACTCTCGTCGCATCCAGCAAACTCTGATCACTCTGCTGAGCAACTCTGATCCTGCTAAGTAGATCCGCCTGATCCACTGCCTCTAAACCCAAAGGCTCCTGCGAAATGGCACACAAACGCAAGGTACTGATCTCGCCAACCAGAGACTCCACATCTCGCTCAACTGCGGAATCATACCTCCGTCTACTCAACGCGTCCGCCACTAGGTTAGCCTTGCCCGGATGGTAGTTAATGCTCACCTGATAGTCCGCCAAGAACTCAACCCAGCGCGTCTGTCTCGCGTTCATCATCGGCTGAGTGAAGATATGCTGCAAACTCTTGTGATCTGTAAGACCTGTACTGTCTCACCTAGCAAGTAAGACCTCCAAATCTTCAACGCGAAGATCACTGCTCCCAACTCTAAGTCATGTGTAGGACGGTTACGCTCACTGCCCTGCCACTGTCTCGAAGCATATGCTATCACTCTGCCCTCCTGCATCAGCACACAACCAAGACCAATGCCTGAAGCATCTGTATACACCATGTAAGGCTTCCCTGGCTCGGGTAACGCCAACACTGGTGTAGTAGTCAACATCTCCTTGAGCTGACTAAAGCTCTCCTCACACTCAGCTGACCAAACAAAACGGGACATCCTTCCCGGTCAACTTCGTCATCGGCTGCGCCATGGTAGCAAACCCCTTGACGAACCTCCTGTAGTATCCTGCCAAACCCAGAAAACTCCTGATCTCTGTGGCACTACTAGGTCTAGGCCAATCTCTGATAGCCTCGCCGGATCCACAGAAACTCCCTCTGCAGAAACAATGTGGCCAAGAAATCCCATCTCTCGCTGCCAGAAACTGCACTTGCTCAACTTAGCAAAAAGCTTCTGCTCCCGAAGCTTCTCCAGAACCAACCTCAAGTGAGTCGCATGCTCCTCCTGACTCCTCGAGTATACCAGAATATCGTCAATGAAAATGATGACAAACACGTCCAAATACTCCCTGAACACGTCGTTCATCAATCTCATGAAGGCTGCCGGCGCGTTAGTCAAACCAAAGGCATAACCACAAACTCAAAATGCCCATAACGCGTCCTGAAAGCAGTCTTCCTGACATCTGCCTCATCTATCGGGATCTGATGATACCCGACGCCAAGTCAATCTTGGAGAACCAAGTAGCACCCCTCAACTGATCCAACAACTCATCAATCCTCGGGAGTGGGTACCTGTTCTTCACAGTGACTCGGTTAAGACCTCTGTAATCGATACAAAGTCTGAAACTCCCATCCTTCTTCTTCACAAACAACACCGGTGCTCCCCACGGTGAAACACTCGGTCGAATGAACCCCTTAGACAAAAGGTCCTCTATCTGCTTCTTCAGCTCTGCCAACTCAGCTGGCGCCATCCTGTAAGGCGTCTTCGATATCGGTGCTGTCCCCGGCTCTAACTCAATCGTGAAAGGATCAGACCGAGATGGTGGTAATCCCTTCAATGACTGAAAGACATCCTCAAAATCCTGGACAACCTCAATATCTCCCATAACAACTCCAGCTCCTGACTCAGACATAGAAATCGTCGCCAGATACGCCTCACAGCCCCGCTCTAACAACTGCTCGGCCTGAATAGCAGATATCACAATACTCCCGGAAGTCGGTCTCACTCCCTGATAAACCAACCTCCTGCATCTCGCTCGAAGACCACTCTGCCTCTGTAGCAATCCAGATGAACTCTGTAGTGCGACAACCAGTCCATCCCGAGAATAACATCATACAGCTCCACCGGACTGATGACCAAATCTGCTGGCATTGACTGCCCCGCAATCTCGATCTCGACTCCTCTAGCACGGCCCAAAGTAGACAAGAATCCACCTCCCGCCACCTTGACCATGCCCGCGCTCTCGCCAGCGCTACTCCGGATGCCACTCTTCTCGGCACGCTCCGGTGTAATGAAGCAATTCGATGCTCCAGAGTCGAATAAAACGTGGGACTCAAAACCGCCCACTAACAAGGTCCCTACACATTCAATTGCGTTGAGAACCTCCACAATTCTATCACAGATAAAAATGACTAACAGACAATAACAACAACAAAAATTCTACACTAAGAATTTACAAAGTCTGAGTCGAAGATTTACCTGTGATATGCCCGCCGGTCTCCACCGAAGAATAGCCCCGCGGTGCCGATTCAGTCTGACCCGCTGGCTGCACCGCTGCAATCTGACTCACCGGCTGAATCAATGCCACTGCCATCCTTTGCAACTGGGGACACGCCGGTCTGAGATGACCCGACTGCCTGCAATGATAACACACCCTGGCATCCTGAACCGCGTCTCTCCTAGGATAGCTCGCCATACGGTGCTCCGTACTCCCACAACGGTAACAAGCACCTCGAGTACCCTGACTACCTACAGAGCTCTCATCTCGACTCCTCTTCTGATCCTGTGCAGGCAACCCGCCCCTGCCAGAACCAGAACTGAAACTCGCACCACCTTTGCGCTGCTGCTGCTGACTCCGAGGCTGGATAGCCGGAGCAACAACATGCGGCACAGCTACCGGTCTAACTGACCCACTGATCGCGTGATCAGGTCTTCCCCTTTCCTATCCCTGATTCTGCAAGTGCACAGGTCAGAAGTAGCAAACGGGTATCGAACACGAGGACCAGATTGCACACTACAAGCTATAAGTTCGAGATCGAGCTAGGGCAAAAGTATAGGTTTTGTTGAGTGCAGTGAAAGTAAAGCATGCAAGTAATAAAGAAAGTGAGATCAATAGGAGAAGAGGGCTAAGCAATAGGATAGTCTTAAGATAAACAATTCATGAAGCATGAAATCAATCAATTAGGGTTACCGCACTTAGGTGCTAATCTAGAACTTGAAACACTATGGTATGATCATTCCACTGTCGAGGCTCCGACCCCTTTGTTAATCTACCTAGTCGCTAAACTTTTGGTATGTCCCTAGGTGATTAAATCAAGCATTAGTTCGATTAAGTTCAATTGTTCACAACCTACAAGTAAATCAACTGTCGCAGTCTAAAAGAGGTTGCCCACCAAATACTAGTTCAGGCGAATGATACAACACTGTCGAGGCCCAAATCAACCCAAGTTCATATGCTAATTGGCTAGATTAACAACAAGCATTAAGTATAAGCAAAGATGGAGATTATAAGTAAAACCCTAATTGTGATCAATCATCAAACATACATGAATGGAGTTGCGTAAGTATTTAATAAATACTTAGTGATGCAATCATTCTGCCTACAGGCAAATTACGCAATTTACTAGCAATTAAAATAACATAATAATTATTATTATAAACCTCAATAATTATTAAAACTTCAATTCTTAATTATTAAGTAATTCTCATAATTAAATAATAATTTTACATATTTAAAATAATTTAGTTTAAATTATTTTAAACCAATTAATTAAATCCGAAATTAAACTAATTCAATTCCATTAAACCAATTAAATTCAATTAAACTAAGATAAACCAATTAAATCAATTAAATTCATTTAAACCGGATTAATTCACACAAACACTCAATTCACCACATAAAACAACCAAAATATCATGAAATAACAATTAAACACATAAACTCATCAAGAACAACCACAAACCAAATCTAATCTAGCAAATCGCGGACCCACAGTCATGCACTCACCTTGACAATGATTGAAACTGAAGAAAGAAGAAAGACGATGAACAGTGCCGAATCGCGACGATGAACAGTACCGATGAACAGTACCGATGAACAGTACCCGATGAACAGTACCCGATGAACAGTAAAACGAAAATCTCTCCAAAAACTCCACTTTTCTCCTACGCCTCTGAACTCGAAAATTCTCCAAAGAGAAGACGGCTGCACTCTTTAAACTTGATTTTAGGGCTTTCTCCACTAAACCGACCCAAACCAATTCACTTAAATTGAACCGACAAAATTCAATTTTTGGTTTATGGATGTTACAACTCTTCCCCACTAAACTGGATTCGAATCCCAACACAAAACGTCACAAAGACCACAAACCCGACCTCGCAAGGCCGCAACACTGGAGATCCTCACCTGATCCCCGAGACAAACATCTAATCTTATGTCATAAGCGTCTCTAGATTTTACTCCTAACTCATCACCTCAAACCACTTGTACTGGGCCACTACACCCAGACAAGTCTGCACCTCCCAAACTGGGCCACTACACCCAGACTTGAACCGCTGCTTATACTGAGGCCACTTGCACCCAAATAAGTCAGCCACGACTTATACTGAGGCCACTACACTTAGCTAAGTCACTCAACTGAGGCCTACTTGCACCCAGAGAGTCTGCCAGAGAACGAAGTCTCCAAAACATGATGAGTTATTCAGGATCGCAATCCTTAGAGTAAAAATTCCAAAATGTCTATAACATAAGATTAGACCGTCTCACAACCACTGGTCAAACATTGTAACATCCGAATACCATTACAACACAAGGCAAAATGAGGAAAACTGCATCTCATTAAAACTCCAAAATGTATATCGTTACAACCAAAACGAAAATACAATAACACCAAAGCCAAAAAACAACTGAGGCTACAAAGATGAAATAAGCTCACTCCTCGACCTGCTTGTCGAACCACTTCCTGAACTTCAACTTCATCTTTGCCTCTGGCTCCCAAGTCTCCTCTGTAGAACCACTGCAATCCCACAAAATCCTCAGTAAGGGAATCCTCTTGTTCCTCAGAACCTTTTCCCTCCTCTCTAAAATCCTCACAGGCACTGCCGGCACTGTCAAATCTGGCTGAAGATCCTCTGGAATCCTAGCCACTAACTCCTCTGTAGGGTGAAGACACTTCCTCAGCATCGACACATGAAAAACCTTGTGAAAGGCTTTCATAATCTCAGGCAACTCCAGCCTGTAAGCCAATGGCCCAACTCGCTCCACTACTGGAAACGGACCCATAAAACGCGGACTCAGCTTGTTCTCTGCTATGGATCTGTTAGGACCCCTCAACATAGCCATCTTGAGATAAACTCTATCTCCCACCTGAAACTCAAGCTCTCGTCTGCGTCTATCTGCATAACTCTTCTGCCTATCCTGAGCCTCCTTCATGTTCAGCCTCACAACACGACCTTCTCTGTCGTCTCCTGAACATAAGTAGCTCCATACATGCTGCGCTCCCCCACTTGGGTCCAGCATAGGGGTGTCCTACATGGCCTCCCATACAAAGCCTCAAATGGAGCCATGCCAATACTCGCCTGAAAGCTGTTGTTGTATGCAAACTCAACTAAGCTCAGGTGATCTGCCCAATGGCCACCCCAATCCAACACACACATCCTCAGCAAATCCTCCAAAGTCTGAATAGTCCTCTCTGACTGACCATCTGTCTGCGGATGATAAGCTGTACTCAGATGCACCTTAGTGCCCATCTCTGCCTGAAAAGCTCTCCAAAACTCTGAAGTGAATCTGGGATCACGGTCTGACACAATACTAGCTGGCACTCCATGCAGCCTCACAATCTCTCGCACAAACTTCCTAGCCAAAACAGCAGCTCCATCTGTCTTCTTGATGGCCAAGAAATGTGCGGACTTAGTCAACCGATCCACAATCACCCAATAGCATCGAAAGTCCTCGAAACAGGTAGTCCAACCACGAAATCCATCGTAATCCTGTCCCACTTCCACTCTGGAATGGGTAAACTCTGCAAAAGACCACCCGGAACCTGATGCTCTGCCTTCACCAAGGCACAAGTGTTGCACTTCGCAACCCAGTCTGCTACATCCCTCTTCATCCCGACCCAATGATAGTACCTCTTGAGGTCATGGTACATCTTGGTCGCTCCCGGATGAATGGAAAACTTGCTCGCGTGAGCCTCTCCCAAAATCTGATGTCTCAACTCCACATCCTTAGGCACACAAACTCGCCCACGAACCAAGATAGTCCCATTCGCAGAGACCTCATACTCAGAACCAGTCACTCTCGTCGCATCTAGCAAACTCTGATCACTCTGCTGAGCAACTCTGATCCTGCTAAGTAGATCCGCCTGATCCACTGCCTCTAAACCCAAAGGCTCCTGCGAAATGGCACACAAACGCAAGGTACTGATCTCGCCAACTAGAGACTCCACATCTCGCTCAACTGCGGAATCATACCTCCGTCTACTCAACGCGTCCGCCACTAGGTTAGCCTTGCCCGGATGGTAGTTAATGCTCACCTGATAGTCCGCCAAGAACTCAACCCAGCGCGTCTGTCTCGCGTTCATCATCGGCTGAGTGAAGATATGCTGCAAACTCTTGTGATCCGTGAAGACCTGTACTGTCTCACCTAGCAAGTAAGACCTCCAAATCTTCAACGCGAAGATCACTGCTCCCAACTCTAAGTCATGTGTAGGACGGTTACGCTCACTGCCCTGCCACTGTCTCGAAGCATATGCTATCACTCTGCCCTCCTGCATCAGCACACAACCAAGACCAATGCCTGAAGCATCTGTATACACCATGTAAGGCTTCCCTGGCTCGGGTAACGCCAACACTGGTGTAGTAGTCAACATCTCCTTGAGCTGACTAAAGCTCTCCTCACACTCAGCTGACCAAACAAACGGGACATCCTTCCCGGTCAACTTCGTCATCGGCTGCGCCATGGTAGCAAACCCCTTGACGAACCTCCTGTAGTATCCTGCCAAACCCAGAAAACTCCTGATCTCGGTGGCACTACTAGGTCTAGGCCAATCTCTGATAGCCTCAATCTTAGCCGGATCCACAGAAACTCCCTCTGCAGAAACAATGTGGCCAAGAAATCCCATCTCTCGCTGCCAGAAACTGCACTTGCTCAACTTAGCAAAAAGCTTCTGCTCCCGAAGCTTCTCCAGAACCAACCTCAAGTGAGTCGCATGCTCCTCCTGACTCCTCGAGTATACCAGAATATCATCAATGAAAATGATGACGAACACACGTCCAAATACTCCCTGAACACGTCGTTCATCAATCTCATGAAGGCTGCCGGCGCGTTAGTCAAACCGAAAGGCATAACCACAAACTCAAAATGCCCATAACGCGTCCTGAAAGCAGTCTTCCTGACATCTGCCTCATCTATCGGGATCTGATGATACCCCGATGCCAAGTCAATCTTGGAGAACCAAGTAGCACCCCTCAACTGATCCAACAACTCATCAATCCTCGGGAGTGGGTACCTGTTCTTCACAGTGACTCGGTTAAGACCTCTGTAATCGATACAAAGTCTGAAACTGCCATCCTTCTTCTTCACAAACAACACCGGTGCTCCCCACGGTGAAACACTCGGTCGAATGAACCCCTTAGACAAAAGGTCCTCTATCTGCTTCTTCAGCTCTGCCAACTCAGCTGGCGCCATCCTGTAAGGCGTCTTCGATATCGGTGCTGTCCCCGGCTCTAACTCAATCGTGAAAGGATCAGACCGAGATGGTGGTAATCCCTTCAGTGACTGAAAGACATCCTCAAAATCCTGGACAACCTCAATATCTCCCATAACAACTCCAGCTCCTGACTCAGACATAGAAATCGTCGCCAGATACGCCTCACAGCCCCGCTCTAACAACTGCTCGGCCTGAATAGCAGATATCACAATACTCCCGGAAGTCGGTCTCACTCCCTGATAAACCAACCTCCCTGCATCTCGCTCGAAGACCACTCTACCTCTGTAGCAATCCAGATGAACTCTGTAGTGTGACAACCAGTCCATCCCGAGAATAACGTCATACAGCTCCACCGGACTGATGACTAAGTCTGCTGGCATTGACTGCCCCGCAATCTCGATCTCGACTCCTCTAGCACGGCCCAAAGTAGACAAGAATCCACCTCCCGCCACCTTGACCATGCCCGCGCTCTCGCCCGCGCTACTCCGGATGCCACTCTTCTCGGCACGCTCCGGTGTAATGAAGCAATTCGATGCTCCAGAGTCGAATAAAACGTGGGACTCAAAACCGCCCACTAACAAGGTCCCTACACATTCAATGCGTTGAGAACCTCCACAATTCTATCACAGATAAAAATGACTAACAGACAATAACAACAACAATTCTATACTAAGAATTTACAAAGTCTGAGTCGAAGATTTACCTGTGATCTGTCCCGCCGGTCTCCACCGAAGAATAGCCCCGCGGTGCCGATCAATCTGACCCGCTGGCTGCACCGCTGCAATCTGACTCACCGGCTGAGCCGCTACTGGCAATGCCACTGCCATCCTTGCAACTGGGGACACGCCGGTCTGAGATGACCCGGCTGCCTGCAATGATAACACACCCTGGCATCCTGAACCGCCTCTCTCCTAGGACAGCTCGCCATACGGTGCTCCGTACTCCCACAACGGTAACAAGCACCTCGAGTACCCTGACTACCTACCAGAGCTCTCATCTCGACTCCTCTTCTGACCCTGCGCAGGCAAACCGCCCCTGCCAGAACCAGAACTGAAACTCGCACCACCTCTGCGCTGCTGCTGCTGACTCCGAGGCTGGATAGCCGGAGCAACAACATGCGGCACAGCTACCGGTCTAACTGACCCACTGATCGCGGATCAGGTCTTCCCCTTTCCTATCCCTGATTCTGCAAGTGCACAGGTCAGAAGTAGTAAACGGGTATCGAACACAAGGACCAGATTGCACACTACAAGCTATGAGTTTGAGATCAAGCTAGGGCAAAAGTATAAGTTGGTTGAGTGCAGAGAAAGTAAAGCATGCAAGTAATAAAGAAAGTGAGATCAATAGGAGAGAAAGGCTAAGCAATAGGATAGTCTTGAGATAAGCAATTCAAGAAGCATGAAATCAATCAATTAGGGTTACCGCACTTAGGTGCTAATCTAGAACTTGAAACACTATGGTATGATCATTCCACTGTCGAGGCTCCGACCCCTTTGTTAATCTACCTAGTCGCTAAACTTTTGGTATGTCCCTAGGTGATTAAATCAAGCATTAGTTCGATTAAGATCAATTGTTCACAACCTACAAGTAGATCAACTGTCGCAGTCTAAAAGAGATTGCCCACCAAATACTAGTTCAGGCGAATGATACAGCACTGTCGAGGCTCAAATCAACCTAAAGGCATATGCTAATTGGCCAGATTAACAACAAGCATTAAGTATAAGCAAAGATGGAGATTATAAGTAAAACCCTAATTGTGATCAATCATCAAGCATACATGAATGCTATCCTTTGACTTCCTATCACTTAACAAGTAAACTACTCAGACATAGAGAAGGAACACGAATTCATATTCATAAGAACAGAGATTCGAATCCTCTCTAGAAAGAGTAACAAGCAAGAACAAAGTAAAAGCAAGCAAAACTTTATTAAAGATGTAAAATAGATTGTGGTCTCTCTCCTTCTTGAGTTACAAGGCTAAAAAGAAGTATTTATAATGCACTAAGTATGAAAAGCGGCTAAACCTAATCTAGCTAGGTCGGCGCCGGCTTTGGGCTTGAATTGTGCGGATTGGGCTTCAAAAACGGCTTCGGGTCGACCGCGGCGTTCGGACGGTCGGTCGGGACGATCGGCCGGACAGTCGGGTCTTGGCGAGTCGGAACGGTCGTGGCCGGATGTTTCGGTCGGCCGTGTGGTCGGACGGATTTGAATGGCCGATGGTTTCTCGGCCGGACGCGGGCGTAGTTCCCGGCTCGGACGGAACGGTGGTGGTACGCGAGTGAGTTGCGCGGCCGCGAGGCTTGTTTCCCGGCTCGCGCGGCGGTCGTGCGCGTGTGGCGTGAGCGGTTGTGGCTGGCCGACCGCGGGACAATGTTTCCCGGGTCGTGATTGTGATCGGCCGGTGGTTAACTTTGGCCGAGACTTCAGACGGACGGATATTTTGGCCGAGCGCGGAACATTCGTTCCTCGGCCAGCCGGACTGCGCGTTCGGGCGCTGATTCTCGATAGAGCCGTCTGGAGCAGTCTTCACTCTTTTGGCTATAACTCCTTTTCTACTCATCCAAATGAGGCCGTTCCAGTTGCGTTGGAAAGTTAACTCAATCAGAGCACGCAGGGAACTGGTCTTGATGAAATCCATTGAGTAGATCTTTTTCTAGCTCCATCCAAAGTTGATGCAGGGGCATTGAACTGGTTTAGAGTCCAAATCTCTGTTTTGCTCCATAATGCACCTTTTTACCTAAAATGACTCTTTGCACTATAAATCCATAAAAACTACCTTTTAACACAAGAATCCACTAGAAAACCATTAGAAAACCATAGTAAAATAGCATAAAAAGTGTAAAATAGAGGTATATCAACTCCCCCAGACTTAGATCTTTGCTTGTCCCCAAGCAAAAAGAATCTAAACTAGTGAAGAGGTTTTGAAAAACGTGGGAACTCCCTTGCTTCTTTGAAAATCCTGTGAAAGGTTCCTTTCCTGTATTCCACTAAGAACATAGTCAACATAAGGTTAGCTTCACATACACCCTGCAAGTTTAGCGAACAATACCAACCCAACTAGTCTCATCCAGCAATCCAAACTCTCTATTGCTAACCTCTTGCATAAATTTAAAGCGTGAGTTCTTTATCAAGGGAAATCGATCAATTGAACTTGTTCTTACCCACTTGATCTTCTCCAAGATTGTCTTTGAAGTGCAATGAGTTCTTTTCCTCTCTCTTTCTCACATCAGAACTTTGAAAGGTCAATTTCTCCCTACTTTTCTAGGGTATCATTTTATTTTTTCTATTGACCTTTCTTTCAACCACAGGATAAGTCTTTAGCTTGTTCCTTGTTTGATAAGGTATTCCATAAGACATGAAGGTACAGACATATGCATTCCTCATGCTTACTTGTTTTCCTTGTGCTCTTTGAGCTTTTCTCATAAACATTACTTACCATTTGGGATGGGAGAGAGAGGAGAACTCTTTAGACAAATCTCATTGAAAATCAAGCAAGGAACTGTCGACATGTATGCCAATCCCCTTGACAAGAGTTATTAAGATTGATTAAGGGTGAGGTTAACTCTAGATTGCTTGGTTACCTTAGAAATTTCGCTGAGCTAGCATGCGATCCACTGTAGGAGCTTCTGTTAGGCTTGTGCCTTCAGCTGATGTCTGCTCTAGGGTCATAGATTGTTAGCATAACACTATCAAATCTCAAAGCAAGTTCATTGTTCCGGACTGGTTTTGACTCAATAAAACAGAAGTTTTGAAAAAGTGGGTAAGGAAAAACCAATTATAAGATCAAAACAACCATGAACAAACACATTAGTACCGACAATCCCCCCAGACTTAACTTGCACCGTCCCGGTGAAAGAAAATCCAATTAAGGGAGTTAAAGAAAGAGGTAATAAAGTGGTTGTGAATGTAAAAAGAAAGATGTAACCTGATTTGTGTTACTTGAAGAATGGTGAATGCAGTGGAATGATGGTAGTGATGGAATGCAAGTGTGGTGAGGTGGGATGGGTGAGATGCAGATGGAATGAGATGGGATGGTGTGTTGGGCGGCTTGAGAGGACATGGGCGAGCGTGGAGAGGTTCTGCTCGGCCATCTAAGTCGCGCCAACTATGAACATTCTTCTTTGTGGTATATCTTCTTTACCATTGTGTGGTTCTTAGATTCCTGTATCCAAACTCAAAACAAAACTAGACATTAACTAAAACTAATTGAAAAGAAAAGTAAAGAAAAACACCTTTCATGGGTTGCCTCCCATGCAGCGCTTCTTTTGAGTCATTAGCTTGACTGATAGGATCTCTTAGTTGGAGATGGGGTAAGGGCACGGCCTGAGACATAGTCTTTTAGTTCTTGTCTCATTGTGACCTTGAGTGTGGTCTGGTGGTTCTCTTGGGCGGCCTTGGGCAGTGATGAGGTAAGACAGCTTGTTTGGTGAGATGAATGGTATGGTCTTGTAAAAGACTGTCTTGTCAACATTGGCTAAGGACATTCGCCTGTTTGGAAGGTCCATGACAGCTCCAGCAGTGGCCAAAAAGGGTCGGCCTAGTATCAATGGTGTGTCACATCCTCCTTGAATGTTCATGACATGAAAGTCCACCGGGATCTTGATATCTCCAATCTCTAGAAGAACATCAACAACAACTCCTCTTGGCTTGGCTATAGTATGGTTAGCAAGTCCAATACTAATTTGAGCAGGTTGCAAGCGTGTGATGCCAAGGAGTTTGGCGGTTTGGGTTGGCATGAGGTTTATGCAAGAGCCAGAATCGCATAGTGTTCTATCAAAGTAATGACCATTTACTTGACAGGGAATAGAGAATTGACCTGGGTCTTCAATCTTGTAGAGGGTCTTGAAGGTAGGCTGAACTTTAGCTTTCTCATAAAGTCCAATTGATGATAGGATTTGTGTGTGGGTGTGAAATGATATGAAATGAGATGTGGTGGAATGCAACAGTGGTATATGAAGATGAAGTGGTACACAATCACAATCAGTCAATTCCCCTTAACCATCATAGTCATTGAAGTATAAGGGGTATCAATCCATAAGGGTGAGATGTTGCTCTATGAGAATATGCAAACACAAGAAAGTCAAGCCAAATGATTAAAAGGAGGGATGTAACAACTAAACAACCTAATATAAGGAAATGCAATGCAGAAAGTAAAAGAAAGCAGCTAAATGCAAGAAATTAACAAGAACAAGCAGATGCAAGGGAGCTCGACCAAGAGCTCGATCGAGTTGATGAGCTCGACCAAGAGCTCGATCGAGTTGATGAGCTCGACCAAGAGCTCGATCGAGTTGATCGAGTTGAGTGAGCTCGATCGAGTTGAGGGTCGAGTTGGTGTAAAAACAGAGGAAATGCAATGAAAAGCGATAAAGGTGCAAACTTTAAGATGCTAATGCGAATATTAGGGTTAAAGACAGGGTTTTGCAGCTAAAGGGAGGCTATACTTAATCAGTCTTGCTCTTAAACAACTTGTATCAAGGTATCTCTTGATATTGAGCTTCTCAATGCCTAGCTAACCCTTTCCCAAGGTGAAAGCTATCAACCAAGACTTGATCTCAGAAACAGGGGGTTAGCCAGTGAGAATCAAGCCTTGGAGGCCATAGGATCATTGCTCAAACTAATCCATCCAACCCCTTAGACCTCTATTTTCTAGAGCAAGAGATATTGGAGCTCTTAGTGGACCTTTCCAACGATTTCCATCACTTCCATGTGGAGAATCGTCTATGGACATACAAGCCAGGGATAGTGGTCATGTAGCCTTAAGGTTTGTCCAAAAGAGAGAGATTTCTAGATTAAGAACATAAGCAAGAAGGATTAAGCATAAACAACCTCTAACCTATCCCATCTTAAGCCCTAAAGGGAACTACTCACTAATCATGGTGAAATAAACAACCAAATGCAATGAATGAAACATCAAAAGATAGAGGAGATGATATAGAACAACTTTTATTGAAATAGAGAAGTGCAGAAATACAATAATAAAGCCTAGATCTAAGGTTCAATGAGCAAGAGCTCAAGAACACAAAGAGAGGCTAAAAAGTAAAAAAAAATGCAAATACAAGATTAATTAAAAGTTGAGCAAAAGCTATGTTTAATTCGTGGCTCAATGCCATTTATAGTAAAGCAAACTAGGTTTAGGGTCAAAGGGGAGTCAAAGGGAAGCAACATTTTTCGGGTTTGACTTTGACTCCTGGAAAAGCAGCTCGATCGAGTTGGAAACTGGCCGGTCGAGCTGGTGGGTCGAGTCCAACCAATATCGTCGTATCTTCTGAACCGCTGGTCCGAATGACATGAAACCACCTCCAGACGAAAGCTAACTCAATTATCCACAACTTCCAAGAAGAAGTCAGAGGCTGAATCGGAGTGGAAACCCTTCATTTGATACGATACTTCGGACGCATCTCACTAGCTCGACCGAGTGCGGGTCCGTACATGGGGCAGACAGAGTCTTTCCTTCCTCAACTAGTCTCCAGTGATAGGCAATGTTCCAATTAGCTCCAAATGACCTGATTAAGACATCAAACGTGCACATGTATGCAAATGCAAGCCTAAAACTACTATGTATGCAAAAGAAGGGAAAACATCAAGAAATGATGCTTTGGGTGAATGAAACTATGCAAAAGATGCATAAAAGAAGGGCTAAAACCATGTAAAATGCAAGTACATCAGTGTGGTCTGGTGGTTCTCTTGGGCGGCCTTGGGCAGTGATGAAGTAAGACAGCTTGTTTGGTGAGATGAATGGTATGGTCTTGTAAAAGACTGTCTTGTCAACATTGGCTAAGGACATTCGCCTGTTTGGAAGGTCCATGACAGCTCCAGCAGTGGCCAAAAAGGGTCGGCCTAGTATCAATGGTGTGTCACATCCTCCTTTGATGTTCATGACATGAAAATCCACCGGGATCTTGATATCTCCAATCTCTAGAAGAACATCAACAACAACTCCTCTTGGCTTGGCTATAGTATGGTTAGCAAGTCCAATACTAATTTGAGCAGGTTGCAAGCGTGTGATGCCAAGGAGTTTGGCGGTTTGGGTTGGCATGAGGTTTATGCAAGAGCCAGAATCGCATAGTGTTCTATCAAAGTAATGACCATTTACTTGACAGGGAATAGAGAATTGACCTGGGTCTTCAATCTTGTAGAGGGTCTTGAAGGTAGGCTGAACTTTAGCTTTCTCAAAAAGCTCTTTGATGTCCTGAGGTGTCTCTCTGCAGTTGTGGAAGAAAGGTGGTGAATGGGTAGTGGCGCCAAGCTTGTTTGGAAGACATGCTGGCTGGAAGAGTTTGGACAAACTGATTGAACTCAGCAAGCTTCTCTCTTGATATGGAATTGACATACCATTGGGTGGTGGTGATGATGGTGGTGATGGTGGTTGATTGACTGCATGAGGGGCAAGGGGAAATCGTGCCTTCTGAAAAAGTTGGTGTACTTCTTCTTTGTTTTCACTAGTTGTGAAAAAGAACTCCACTAGATCATGCTTATCCCAAGCTTCTTCAAAAGTGACATAGAATGGAAGTGATTTCACCTTAGCATTGAACTCTTTAAGCTTCATGGGGCTTATCTTGTTGGGATCAATGGGATCATATGCCAAGTATCTTCTTCTTCAGTAGGTGGTGATGGTCTTTGCATTGCTTCCAGTCTTGGAAGTCAGAAGCTTGACTTCTTGGTGTTGGTGAGAAACGAGGGTCTCGGGCTAGGTGTATCCATGCTCTGTTTTGGGGAAGCATTGATGTCGATGCTCTGCTCTTCATCTTCATCATTCAGTTGTTCCTCATACTCTCTTTCTTCTTCTTCATTGTCCTCATGGACTTGGTGAGTGCTTCTTCTTGTGATGGCATTGCAATAAAAGGGAGGGTGGTTGGGTGTTGGACTCCTCTCTCTCTTGTAATTGGCATGAGATGATCCTTCAAGGGCTTGTAGGCGGTTGTAGATTGATCCAAGATGCTTGCTATTGCCATAGCTAGTATCTTCAATTCTCATGCTCTTGTTCAGCAACTCTTGATATTTGGAAGCAACATCAAGCTTAACTAGGGTCAAGATCGATCATGATCCTCTCTTAACTTCTTAATGTCTTCATCAAGCTTGATCACTTGCTTGAATAGGACTTCAGATTTGTTTCCAAGACTCTCATGGATGAAATCGATTCTCTCTCCATCTTCTTTGTACTCTCATCTTGATTTCTCAAGTACTCTTGAAGCATATCTTCAATCTTGGTTTGGCGCGCAGCTTGATAGCTCTCCTTGGGAAAAGTGGTGTCTTGTTTATGTCTGGTGATGATGGATGGTGTTGTGAATAGCTTGGGCGTGGTGGTGGAACATAAATGGACCTTGCAAATCTGTAAGGAAAGCTCCTTTGTATCCATTCCAAGTCTTGAAAGCATGTTGGGCATTGAACTTAGCCCATTCTTTGGCTTGTCCAGCTAGTGATAGTTGGAAAAGTTGTATCTTCTTGGGGTTGTCTCCAAGTCCATAGTCGTGGCAAAGCTGCTCAAAGTTGCATAGATGCTCCTTTGCACACTCTGAAGTAGAATTGTAGAAAGGGTTCTCTCCACATGCTTGATTAGCTCTTCATTCAAAACTTCAGGATGGGGTGGTATGCCTCCCCATTCTTCTTCATCACGCTCTCTCTCCAGCTGATGAGAGTAGTGGTGGTACTTGGATTTGAAAGGTGGCCTTGCAAATCTCTTCAAGAAAGCTTCTCTAAAATCGATCCATGACTCGATTGTAGAGAGTGGTTCATGCTGCGCCCAATCTAGTGCTGGTCCAGCTAGTGATGTGCTGAATAGCATCATCTTCTTCTCAAAGTCAAAAACTCCATAGGAATCACAAAGATTATCAAAGTGATCTATGTGCTCCAGCGCATACTCTGAAAACAGATCATGGAATTGATCTCTCTTCACGAACTCGATCAGCTCAGGGTCAATCTCCTCTTCTGGTGTGGCTAGAAGGTGTTCTTCTCTGTAAGATGCGGCTTGGCTAGACGTCTCCAGGTCGGCTGCTTCAAGGTAGGGAAGAAGTTTCTTCTTTGTCTTCAAGGAGGATAGTTTTGGAGGACTATCCCAAGAAGGTGGTGGTGCTTGAGGGCTTGACATCTCTTGTTCGTCCAAGAGGTTCTTTGAGGTGGTATGTGGCGAAGTGGATCGCCTTTATAGGGAAGGCTTGTGGCTCCTTCTCCATATCTAACTAGGAAAACCTGAAAAAGCTCAAAAACAAAAAGGAAAAACAAATCAAAAGAAAAAGGAAAAATAACAAAACAAAAAGGAAAAGAAAAACCCTAGACTAGCTCTCTTGCAAGAACTTGTAGGTGCGAATTGGTCCCCGGCAACGGCGCCAAAAACTTGATCGCGGGATCAGGTCTTCCCCTTTCCTATCCCTGATTCTGCAAGTGCACAGGTCAGAAGTAGTAAACGGGTATCGAACACGAGGACCAGATTGCACACTACAAGCTATAAGTTGAGATCGAGCTAGGGCAAAAGTATAAGTTGGTTGAGTGCAGAGAAAGTAAAGCATGCAAGTAATAAAGAAAGTGAGATCAATAGGAGAGAAGGGCTAAGCAATAGGATAGTCTTAAGATAAGCAATTCATGAAGCATGAAATCAATCAATTAGGGTTACTGCAATTAGGTGCCAATCTAGAACTTGAAACACTATGGTATGATCATTCCACTGTCGAGGCTCCGACCCCTTTGTTAATCTACCTAGTCGCTAAACTTTTGGTATGTCCCTAGGTGATTAAATCAAGCATTAGTTCGATTAAGTTCAATTGTTCACAACCTACAAGTAAATCAACTTTCGCAGTCTAAAAGAGATTGCCCACCAAATACTAGTTCAGGCGAATGATACAGCACTGTCGAGGCTCAAATCAACCTAAGGCATATGCTAATTGGCCAGATTAACAACAAGCATTAAGTATAAGCAAAGATGGAGATTATAAGTAAAACCCTAATTGTGATCAATCATCAAGCATACATGAATGCTATCCTTTGACTTCCTATCACTTAACAAGTAAACTACTCAGACATAGAGAAGGAACACGAATTCATATTCATAAGAACAGAGATTCGAATCCTCTCTAGAAAGAGAACAAGCAAGAACAAAGTAAAAGCAAGCAAAACTTTATTAAAGATGTAAAATAGATTGTGGTCTCTCTCCTTCTTGAGTTACAAGGCTAAAAAGAAGTATTTATAATGCACTAAGTATGAAAAGCGGCTAGACCTAATCTTGCTAGGTCGGCGCCGGCTTTGGGCTTGAATTGTGCGGATTGGGCTTCAAAAACGGCTTCGGGTCGACCGCGGCGTTCGGACGGTCGGTCGGGACGATCGGCCGGACAGTCGGGTTGTGGCGTGCGGAACGGTCGTGGCCGGATGATTCGGTCGGCCGTGTGGTCGGACGGATGTGGAATGGCCGATGGTTTCTCGGCCGGACGCGGGCGTAGTTCCCCGGCTCGGACGGACATCGGCCGTGGTACGCGAGTGAGGTTGCGCGGCCGCGAGGCGTTGTTCCCGGCTCGCGCGGCGGTCGTGCGCGGTGTGGCGTGAGCGTTGTGGCGTGGCCGACCGCGGGACAATGTTTCCCGGGTCGTGATGCGTGATCGGCCGGATGGTTTGAACTTTGGCCGAGACTTCAGACGGACGGATAGTTTTGGCCGAGCGCGGAACATTCGTTCCTCGGCCAGCCTCTGCGCGGTTCGGGCGCTGATTCTCGATAAGCTGCTGGACAGTCTTCACTCTTTTGGCTATAACTCCTTTTCTACTCATCCAAATGAGGCCGTTCCAGTTGCGTTGGAAAGTTAACTCAATCAGAGCACGCAGGGAACTGGTCTTGATGAAATCCATTGAGTAGATCTTTTTCTAGCTCCATCCAAAGTTGATGCAGTGGCATTGAACTGGTTTAGAGTCCAAATCTCTGTTTTGCTCCATAATGCACCTTTTTACCTAAAATGACTCTTTGCACTATAAATCCATAAAAACTACCTTTTAACACAAGAATCCACTAGAAAACCATTAGAAAACCATAGTAAAATAGCATAAAAAGTGTAAAATAGAGGTATATCACCCACTCGGATGCACCTCAACTGACGCTGCCAACTCCACTAGACCCACCCTCGTAGTATACCTACCACCTTTGCACGGCGTCCAGATACTCATACAAAGTCCCTCAAGGAACCTGTTTGTCAGCTGATGCTCATTCTCCGTGCTAAAACCCGCATGGACCAACAGACGGCTAAACTCTTCATCGTACTCGCGTACAGAACGCGTACCCTGCTCGATCCCCATGAACTGCATCTGAAGACAGTCTCGCGCCTGCCTCGGGAAATACTTAGCGTTGAAATCCACGAGGAAGTCGCCCCAAGTCCAAACCGCCCTCCGGCCTACAGCGGCCTGCCACCACAAATGACCATCATCGCTCAAGTAATGGACCGCTAACTCCACCCAGTACTCCATAGGACAACGGATCGACTGGAAGTTCCGCTCCAGTCTCTAACGCCAAGCGTCCGCCACCTTAGGACTAACTCTGCCCTCAAAGAAAGGCGTACCAATCCTCTGCATGTGCCTCATAAACTCTAAATAACGAGACACACCCGCACCCGCAGCCCCCGGCTGCACAACCTCTGCAGCAACATGCTGCACCTCTGCCACTGGCGGTACTCCTAAAGCCCAATGTGGAACCACCAGCGGAAAACGAGCCAACAACTGCGCCAGCAACCCTGCCACTAAGTTGTCACGACCGGAGCCGGAGCGCCACCCCCACCCGGAGCAGCCCCCGCTGCCAAACCAACACTCGCATGCACACTGGCCTCACTCACTACGGATACAGACTGGGTCACCGACGCAGTCGCCACACTCAGCGCTGCACTCTCTCCCGACTCCTCCGGAAGCCCACGACTACCACCTCGGCCTGCTCGGCCTCCAGCTCTACCACCACGGCCAACTCTGCCACCACGGCCTTTAGCATCGCGCCCTCTAGCGCCACGACCTCTAGGAGCCCCGTCCATCTCTCTGCATGGACCCGAACATGAGCAACTAGAAAATAAACACAAAAACACAAACACCAAAACTCACCGCGGAATCTCTTGTAGCTGAAAGGGATGATACTAAGCCTGGCAATTCTAACAGTCCTAAAACTGTTTAGGCTCTGATACCGAAATGAAACAACCAACACTTTTTTTTTAATAAATAAATAAATACTAATCAATTTTAGCAAAGGTCCTTAAAATAAATTAAATAAATAATAAACAAATAACAATATCAATTCAGTTCAGCGGAAGCAAACAAATAATTAAACGAGTCTAACAACTTAAACAAGTTCAAATGAAATAAAACAAAACAAAAATCCTACTCTTCAGCCTCGATTCCGCGATCACATAAACCTTTTACCTGCAACACATTGGAATGGAGTTGCGTAAGTATTTAATAAATACTTAGTGAGGCAATCATCCTGCCTACAAGCCAATTACGCAATTTATTAGCAATTAAAATAACATAATCATAATTATTATAAAACTCAATAATTATTAAAACTTTAATTCTTAATAATTAAGTAATTCTCATAATTAAATAATAATTTTACATATTTAAAATAATTTGAACCAATTAATTAATTAAATATTTAATTAATTAAATCCAAATTAAACCAATTCAATTCCATTAAACCAATTAAATTCAATTAAATCAAGGTGAATAAATTAAAAAAATTAAATTCAATTAAACCGGATCAAACCACACAAACACTCAATTCACCACAGAAACTATCAAAATACATTGAAATAACAATCAAACACAAACTCATCAAGTACAACCACAAACCAATTCGAATCTAGAAAATCGCGGACCCACAATCATGCACTCACCTTGACAATGAATTAAAACTGAAGGAAAAAAGAAAGACGATGAACAGTGCCGAATCGCGACGATAAACAGTACCGATGAACAGTACTTCGACGAAAAGTAACAAAATTCTGCTCCAGAAACTCCACTTTTCTCCTCTCCTGCCTCTGAACTCGAAAACTGTGTAAAATTAGGCGGCTGCTCTCTTTTATTCCAGCGAATTAGGGTTTTTCCCTTAAACCAGTATAAACCGGATAACTTAAATTAAACCGACAAAATTCTCAATTTTTGGTTTATGGATGTTACAACGACGCTCCGTCAGTATTGATCTTCGACCAGCCTTGCATTGGTGGCTTCCGTGCTATCTGTCGTTCCACTCTGTTTCTCATACCTCCGCTGTCGGGTTTCAAGGCATAAGCTGATGCAGCTTCTTTGGCAATGTCCTTTATGAACTTCACACGGTCACGACACTTCCCATTTGATCCGAATGCATTGCCACATCTCCATTTCCAGCCCCTGGCATCGCAAAGCATGTTGACCATTTATACTCTCCTAGATTAAGCTCGGAACCCGGATTGTTGTAAATCCAACTCAGTAACGGAGACTCAAAAAACTCGTGCCTCTTCCTCAAAGGAACTATGCGCCTTCATATACCTTCCATTGCAGGGCAATCTCTTAAGATATGTATGATAGTTTCCTCTCCACTTCTGCATACTTGACACAGATTAGTATCGCTAAGGTGGTGTCTGTATCTTTCCGCATTTGTCATAAGAGCTTGGTTAATCACCAGCCATAGGAAGACTCTGACTCTCTCTGGGACCGCCACATGCCAAGCCCGTGTGAATAGTCCAGTCATACACTGTCGCGGTCTGGCATCCTGAGTGAGAAAGGAATACGCTGAGGTGATTGAGAATTCGCCATCCTGTGTCAATCCCCAAGACATTCTGTCCCTGCCTCCCGTGACTTCATCCACCACCACTGCTGCCAATGTTAGTCTTGTGTCCACCGAGACATATGACTCAATCTGGGTAAGCAACCAACCAGACCTGCTCTGCCATAGATTAGACACCCGTGACTCAGTAAGAGCCTCTGGGATCTCTGTCAGCTCCAGTAACGATTGCCCTGAGAGCCATTTATCTTTCCAAAAGTGTGTCGTGCACCTGTTACCAATCACCCAATTCATCGCCGGAATCACTACATCTCTCATTCCACGTAAAACACTCTGCCATGTAGAAGACCAATTGCCCTTTGTACTGAACCAAGCCGCATCTTTCACCTCCTTCACTTTATACTTGCTCCTCAAAACCTTTGCCCACAAAGAAACCTCATCATGTAACAATCTCCAGCTGGATAAGTTTCACTCGGCCAAAAGTAAAATTATTCGATTAAAAATGGACTTAATTGAGTAAAATAGCCGGAGTTTGGACCAGACGAGGTTGTCGAATTCGAACGAATGAATCGTCGTCTCGACGAGGTCGACGCAAAGGTCCATCGCGCCACCAGCTCAGCCCCGGAATTGACGAAAGCACTCGCCGACAGCCGGAGGAGTCCGCTCACTCGCAGGCTCCGCCAAATCGATCTGCACGAGAGAGCTCGACTCAAAATCGACTCTTACACCGGAGAAGAAGATCCCAAGAAGTGGCTAACTGCGTTCAATCTCGCCATGAGGAGGGAGAAATACAAATTCTACGACGAGAGGGAGGCCAACTACTGTCAAGTATTCGTTGAGCACATGACGAAAGATGCCTTGACCTGGTTCTCTAACCTCCCTGCCGAGTCAATCGACAACTTCGACGATCTAACTAATGCCTTCCTAAAGCATTACTCCATGCACATGTCCCGAGTCACGCGGAACATGTTCACCACAACGCAAACCCAAGGTGAACCCTTGCGCAGTTTCATGGAGAAGTTCAAACAAGCAGCCCGCGACATGCCCGATAGCGTCCCACTGGAAGCACTCCGCAATGGCCTCTGGTATGACTCCAAGTTCAAGGAGGATTTGTCACTAAAACCCCCTGCAACTCTGGAGGACGCATTCCACCGCTCCCGGAACTACATCTTCCTCGAGGAAGACAAACGCTTCTATGCCGAAGAAGCATGGAGATAGGAGGACAACCTCGTCGAAACCCAGAGAGGAAACCGTGGAGGTACGAAGAAGACACGATCCGAAGAGGTCACTCCTCGCAGCGTTTGCGGCAGCCGACGACGAGTCCGAGCAAGAGCACGCAACAGCGATCTCGATGCCACAGGACGCCACTCCGCTCGGAGATGATAACGACACCAAAGCTTTCTGCAAATTCCACGGAGAACTGGCCACGCCACTGAAAACTGCAAACCTCATCAGCAACCTTATCCGCATGTACCATCGAGGAGAAATCCCGCCGATGGACGGCGATAGATCCCAAGGAAAAAGCTTCCCGCCGAGACCACCAAATCTGGACAGTAAGGAGAAGCGCGGACGACAATCCCGCTCGAAGAAAGATACCGGGAAAACCGGAAGCTCCGCCTGAAAAGAGGAATCGTGACGACCATGACGACCTGCCCCCACCGCCGAAGCGACAAGTCAGCATGATCATGGGAGGCCTCCTGGACAACGACGACTCCATATCGGCGATCAAGGAATATGAGCGAAAGGCCGTCACGGCACAACGCTACCCATATATCCATAAAGGAATCCCTACTATCTCCTTTACGGATAAGGATGCGAGCGAGCTGGATATCCCTCATCTCGACCCACTCGTGGTCACTCTGCAGATTCACGACTGCGACGTCGCGAAGGTTCTGGTTGACACTGGAGCACGGTGAACCTCATCTTCCTAGAAACATCGGACCGCATGGGAGTGGAAGAGAGGTCCATCAAACCCACATCCCGTCCCCTCACCGGCTTCACCGCCGAGCACGTTTACAGTTGCGGTACAGTCCGACTCCCCGTTTATGTCGGCGGAATTTCAAAACTCTGAAGTTCATTGTCATGGACAAACCGGCCATCTACAACGCAATCCTTGGCACCCCCTGGCTCCATGAAATGAAAGCCGTCATCTCACTTCCACCAGTGCGTGAAGTTCCCGATGCCTTCCGGAATTTTCACTTTACGTGGGGATCAAAGAGTGACGCGATCATGCTTCCTTCGCGAACGCAAGCTCCGCACCGCGTCATCTTTCATGGTGATCGAGCCCCCAAACCAACAGCCTCGTGAAGAATCAAGGCCAACATCGGATGACGAGACCAACAGATCCGACGTAACGAGACGCATCGCCACGACGCAAGAGGCTATCCCCCCGATCCTTCAACAAAGAAACGCCGAGCCCACCTGGAAATCCGACTTAAGATCCAACATGAGCACTAAGAAACCCAAGAAGCTCTCTAATCTATTCGAAATGGAACAACTCGAGGACGAACCGCTACGAAGTTACTTGGATAGATTCAAGAGCATGCTGCTCGACCTCGACGAGATCCCCGGAGCACCCCATCTCAGAACCAGTACTCATCCAGCCCTCGGAAACGGACTCCGGTACGAATCTGGATTTCGGGAAGACTTCCGCCTCCGCCCCTTCTCAACCTTGAAGGACGCCTTCCTTCGCGCTGAAAATTACGTTCGCATCGAGCAGGATATCCCGCAGCTACGGTTCGACCCGAAAGATCCTCGGATCCAGTTGAGAAACAAGAGAAGGTCATCATCCTCCACCCAGGAGGATCCACTCCATAAAGCACCAAGATGCCGTCACAGTCATCCCCTTGCCGAGACGACGCTCTGTCTACGACGACGAGACCGGAGGAGCATAGAGAACCGCGCGCTGAGCGACCGCCATGCATCTCCGCAGTGTTCATTCTCAGATCAGGAGATATTCGAAATCATTGCCGACATTCGGAGGACCCCCCTGACGAGCCGCCTCTCCGAGGTACCACTGAAGAAACGCCTCGCTGCACCTAAATTTCTACGACGGCCGGGACGATCCCAAGCAATGGATCTCGTCCTTCATGACAACCATGAGAATACCAAAATATGCGTCACCGGAGGAAGAAAGCGCACACTTCTGCCAAGCCCTCGCCGAACACTTGCGTGGCGAAGCCCTAACATGATCTCCGGGCCGACTCCATCGATAGCTTCGATGATCTGGCAGCCGCCTTCCTAAAGCAACACCTCCGCTTCGCACTCGACGACCTTATCTTGTGCAAATCCAACGACGATAGGGTCGACCGCCTAGGCAAATTCGGCTTCAGCTGGGAAGGACCATATCGAGTCGCACGAGTTGTCAAGCCAGGCATCTATCAGCTCGAAGACAACCTTGGCAACACGTCCGAACGCCTCTGGAGCTCAACGGAGCTGCGCAAGTTTCATGACTAGACGCGAAGCACCGCACTAGCCAAAAAAAAAAAAAAAAAAAAGAGACATGTCCATGACACGAACATTTGTAACGAACTACGAATGGCTTGATCCCGGCATGGGTACGTTGGCAGCCTTTTTCACTAAAGGCGCAGCTATGATACTAAAACTTATTTTATTTAAAGTTCTTTCACTTCGACAAAGCACGCCTCATCATGGCATAAGCAAAAACTTGTCAATATAAAGCACGCACCCGTTTGACGTCAAACCAAAATTATTGAGGCAAACTCGATAAGCACTTGCACTTTGCACCCTAAAAAACATGGACTGATCACCCATTCATTAAGCCGAGAGCACGCACCTCGCACGGCTCTCAGTTCGTCGGACGAGCGAAAAACCGCTACCTCGTCACCCGCACGAAGCTTTGAAGTCGGAAGCATAAATCGAGTTTCTAGAGCTCGTCGCTGAAAGTAGGCCTAACACCCTAAGCACACAGACCTAATACGCACCGGTCGGTGTCTCGAATGAGAAGTCATGACATAGATAAAAACAGAACTCATCACGGCATTCGAACCGAGAAAGCATTCTCGGTCTCGGCAAAGATTGTTCGAGGCACATTGTTTTGTGAATTAGATGACGTCAACGTACTCTTTTTCCTTCTTATGGTTTTTGTCCCAATTGGGTTTTTCCATACCGAGGTTTTAACGAGGCGGTACGAATCTACATTCAGCACGCACTTAGGCACTAAAATCCGGTTGGAACGGTGTATTTTTACTAATGATTCTTGAACTCACTCCTTATTCATGAAACTCGCCGAGATCAAACCGCATTTGACTTCCAAGCTGGTGGGGGGGACTTATTGTTAGAGGAGAAATTAGCACGTTTCCCTGAGCCCGTCATCATTAGTAAAGTCACAAAGCCCAATCCGACTTTAGGCCTAACTTCCTCAACAAAAAGGCAAAACTTGAGAAGGAAGGCACAATCCATGAGAAAATGTAAACAAACCCTCATGCTGACCTGAAGAATGGAAGGAAATCAAGAACAAGAGGAAGTTTTCTATATCGCAAAAGAGGAAGTTTTCCATCTCGCCGGAAGGAAAATATTCACCCATCAGCCGACTTATGAACACTATATATTGAAGACCTCCCCCCCCCTCCCCCCCTCCATTGGAGAAAAGGCATCGGAGATCATCTAAAATTACTAGGCTTTTGCAACCATTTTACTTTCTCTTCTTGTTCATCACAATTATCTCGACAAGCTTGTTAGCGAGATAATTTCTTTGTAACTTTCTATTTATTCTTCGAGTTGATGTAAGCTTCCAGTTTCTTAAACTCACATCTTTGATAGCCCGTCTTGACGAGTGCTATCTCGGATCTAACAAAACTCAGTTTCTAAAAACCTAAAACCATTACTATATATAGTATAGTTTATTTTGTAGTTATCTCATAACTATTTGCACTTTTTCGAAATGTCATCCTAGTTCCGCATCCGAATAAATATCATGTGGATCGATGATTGCGTTTATTAGTGTCATATATTAATATTCCACGTCCGTGTTTGTGGATCAATAAAACTGTTGAAAGTGAAAGTTGAATAATAATTAGTAGACATGACCACGGTTACGGTTATCATGGTTAAGGTTATTTAACCACCGGTTACGGTTAGAAATTTTGTTAACCTTAACCTTAACTATTTAACATACGATTAATACGGTCAGTGCCGTGCGAAGGTTAAGGGGGGGCTCATGGCAAATTTTTAAAAATGGGGCCTTTACAATAGAATTATTTTTATTTAGATAATTATAAAATAAATGAAAAAAAAATCAAAATAACACTCTAGTCTAAAACTGATATATCAAAAAGTAGTTTTTCATTATTCTAAAGATAATACTCCCTCTATTCCATAATATAAGCTGTTTCAGCTTAAACACAAGAATTAAGAAAATTGTTTTGCTTTAAAAAGGTATAATTTAATATATAAATTAATTATAATCCAACCAATAGTAAAAAACAACTACAAAATATAAATGGTCACACAGTTTTCCACAAAGTAAAAATGCATTGAAATATCAAAACTATTTATATTATGCGACAGAATTTAAAACTACTTATAATATGGGACAGAGGGAATAATAAACATTTGTTTTAGTTTTATTATAACTGAAAAGAAGAAGAAAAAATGTTTATTTTTTCTGTGATATACACAATTGTTGTATAATCCCCAAAAATATTATTAAGATGATTTAACAATAAAAAAAAGAAAGATATTTTGAGGAACTGATTTGAAATTCAAACTATAGATAAACAAAATAATGTGAATTTAGCTTTAAAGTATCCCATAAGCATTTTAGAAAGTGAATCTTGGTCTTTTACATATTTCAAAATAGTGCAAAAGATTATGAAAATTTGTGATGAATCAAAAGAAAAGAGAAAAATATTTTCAAATCAGAGATAAAAATGACTAATACTGTTGTTTTTATATATCTGAAATTTAAAGATAACTAAGATTAAGATATATATATATATATATTAAATTATAATTTAAAAGCTGAATAATGGTTTTATTGTCTTTTCATTTATTAAAAAAGTTAGTTTTCAAAGTTTTTTATAAGAGGGTTAGTTTTCAAATTAGAAAAAAAATTTAGAATATTAAACCAACTCTCCCTAACTATTATGCATCCGTATTCGCAAATAAAAACTCTAGTCAATAACTAATAAGGAGAAATAAGTAAATAAAACAGATAATAATTTTAAAATAATATCAAAAATAACATATCGACTGAATATATTAGGCGTTACTAGTTCTTTTCTTTTTTTTAGAATATATTTATTTTATTTTAAGCGTAACATAGGCATTTTCATAGGATTGAGATTGACCATGAATTATCAAAAAAAACAAAAAAAGTAACGTAGGCATTCTTTATGGGCTACCTTTTATTTTTGTTCTTTTTTTAAGATTAAATAATCTTTATATACTATAAATTGACAATGAGATACACAAACATTCAATCAATTAAAAAGAAGAAGTAAAAAAGAAATGACTAAGAGTGAAATCATAGTTCGCTTCATTGCACTTTTGATGATATCCTTGTTGATACCTACAGGTATACACATCCTAATCAATAAATCTTCCTAATTTTTTTGA